CCAGTAGACGCTTTTGATGCTGAGACACAGGGGTACCAAACACAGAACTACTGAGCTACACTGGTGCCCCTTCCCATGCCCCTCCCATCTTCCCCCTTTCCTCTGCCAGCGGGAGGCCACGGCACCAAACAGACAGGCACGTCCAAGTGCAACAGGTGGCCCTTGGCCGTGCTCCAGCCTTCTGGGCCATTTGTTTTTATTTATTTTTTTAAAAAGGAAAAAAAAAAAACCCCTAACTGCTCCTCCCTCCTTCTGAATTGTCTACCACACCCAAACTGTGTATTCCCAAGTCTGGCCCTGGCTCTGTCACAGCAAGAGCTCCCCTAGCAATGTGGGAGTGAGCAGCAGCTTTGAGCAAATATCCAGCTCAGTCTTTTGGTGGGCAGTGGAAGGGTGAGGAGGGCACCAGCACAGAAAGCAAAGGGGCGCTTAAGAGGCGGACATGACAGGGGGACCACACAGGCACTACCGGGGTAGCGGGGGAATGGTACCTACAGTGTTGGAGCAGATGCGTGTGTGTCTGTGGAGGGGGGGGTGAGGCATGTGTGAGAGAAGAAGTAGTCAGAGCAAGAGTGCAGGCATGCAAGGGTCTGGGGGATGTGCAAGCAGAGAGGCAAGTCACAACCCCCTTTTCCCCATGGGGTATTGCTGCCTTGGCAATACAAGGCTCTATGAGATGTTGGTGTTTTATCTGCAGGGGTGTTGGGAGGAGTGGTATTGAGAGTGGGGATGGAGGGATTGAGAGACTAAAGGTGGTGGTGGGGGGGGGGGGGGGGAGATTTGAAGGCACCATCAAAAACTACAGACAGTGGTAGATGTGAAACCAAGACAAAAATGAGGACTGAATGGGCAATGCGATAAGAACCTCTTTCCCCAGGTGATTGCATTGGAGGCGTTTCCCCATCCCCATGTGTGCACCCTTCTGAGGTGAACACTGTGGTCCTCTAGGAAGGACCAAGCTGTGCCCCCAGGGTAGAGAAGGTATCTTCAGAGAAACTCCTGAGAACTCCCTTCAGTCCCCTGCTTCTCCTGCTCAGGGGTCACCATTGGCCTGGCATGGGATGAAGAGGAAGTCACTGGGCTGAGTGGGGAAATGCCAGCTTCACGCCAGATGGAGGGGGGAGCTTTGCCAGCCAACCTTGGGAGCCCTCTGGCCTTTGCCCAGAATAAAGGTGCAAGACAAATGGGACAAACAGATGAATTTTATCTCTGTAGTCCTGTCGAATCCACATTCCTGATGGAGCTAAAGGATGCCGAGTGGCGCATCTCGGTCTGCTGGAAAGAAATATTGCTGCTTTCCTGCTAGCTGGTGTCTAGACATTCTTACAGGGATGTAACCCATGAGAAGGATCCCTTTCCCACCCAGCAACTGAGCTCTTGTGTTTGCCCCAAAGTTATCCTGACTGAGACTGGATCAGGGAACTCAACAGGGGTCACTTAGAGAGTAGCTCTGCTAAGAGAGCTGAATAGGGGAGCATCTCCCCCCTGCAAAATGTGGAGGGGCCGTGCTGCACTCTCTTCTCGCTAGAACTCGGCCTTTGCAGTTTATAGCTCTTCAGAGATGTCAGGGCTCCATTCTCAGCATCCCTTCCTCCTGGAAGCCTAAAGGCTTGTCTATACTGGGAAATTGACTAGAACAGTTATTCCACTCTGTTTTGGAATAAAATGTGATTTTTTTTTTTAAATCCCAGAATTATTACTCGGCTCTGGAAATATATTAATTATTGGACTACAAGTGATTTTCATTCCAGAATAGTGTGGCCATGTGGGAATCTATTCCACACTAGCTATTCTGGTCAATTTTCCCATGTAGACAAGCCCTAAGAAAGTGAAGCCAAGAACCAAAGCTAGATATCTCCTATGGGTGTGCAGAATATTAACTCCTAGGCTACCAGGCTTGAGCTGGGCAGAGCTCACAGCCCCTGCTGGCCACAGGATGGAGGGCTCAGGAGCACCGAGCCCTAGTCCTGGGGCCACTCTGCAGAACACATTAAGGAACTGAGAGAAGAATGAAACACAGGTGTGCTGGGTAGCAGTGTAGGGCACTTACTGTCAGAATGTCTAGTTCTTGCCAGTCTGGGAAATTGAGCTAGGAGGGCAGGGCAAAACTAGGTGAGCAGTGGACCTTGGGGTTCCCAAATTGTCTAAGATTTCCAAAGGGATCCACACCTCCATTTGACATTTTTAGGGGTCCTCAAATGAGAGAGTTTTTAAAACCACTCTTCTAGATTACTAGCCCCCTCAGTACTGCTCCCTCCCTTGCCATCCACCCAAATGTGTGTGTGGGGGGGGGAGGGGGAGTACAAGAAATATGGAGACACAGGACACAGCCCCAGAATAGGGGGTGAGGACTGGTATAGTGAGAATCCCCTCCTTAATGCACATACACAGCTGTTTTTATCTGCATTGCCTATCTTTAAAGGGCTGCTTCTCAGAGCTGCCTGGAAAACGTCTAAGGTCAGGCACTGTAAAGAGGAGAGTTGTCACCTGTGAGAGCTGAGACTTCAGGGCTACGTCTAGACTGACATGATTTTACGCAAATGCTTTTAACGGAAAAGATTTTCCGTTAAAAGCATTTGTGGAAAAGAGCGTCTAGATTGGCACGGACGCTTTTGCGCAAAAGCACTTTTTGCGGAAAAGCGTCCGTGCCAATCTAGACGTGGTTTTGCGCAAGAAAGCCCCGATCGCCATTTTCGCCATCAGGGCTTTTTTGCGCAAAACGGTTCTCAGCTGGCTAAACTGGCCCTCTTGCGCAAAAGCATTTGCTCAAGAGGGCTTTTTCCCGAACGGGAGAGTCATTGTATTTGCAGAAGAACACTGACAATCTTACATTAGATCGTCAGTGTTCTTGCACAAATTCAAAGCGGCCAGTATACACAGCTGACAAGTTTTTCCACAAAAGCATGTGCTTTTGCGGAAAAACTTGCAAGTCTAGACACAGCCCAGCTGTTGCATGATCTGTGTGCATGTTGTCTACAGACCTCCCCATTGGTGCCTCTCCCAGTGACTCGCTGGACCCAGTCCAGCAGCTAGTGAAGGTGGGGGAAGGAAGTGCTAGCTCTTGTCACAGTTGAAGCACAAAGAAGAGGTGGGCAAGTCTCTCAAATTGGCTAGCAAAAACAATACTGTAAATAGGTTTGGGGGAGGTTTCCCATCCTCCAAGCTTCTCTTTTGTTGGGGCAGCCCAATATTTAGGTTTGGGGAGAGGGGGGGACTTTCTTGGGAGAGGTTCTTTGTAATTAGTGTCTAATCACAGCTGAGTGGGATGGTCCATAAACTCATCTAGAGCTGGTTAGTAAGGAGACCGTTCTCACTTACACCCTGTTGCCCTCACAACATGAAGGGACCCTCTAGCTTCTCTGAGGAGGAACTTGACATTGACAAGGCTCATTGCTTCTCCTTCAGGGCGGGCACCACCCAGGGCCAGGCAGATGAAGACTCGGTCTGCTCCTGTTTCAGGTTCTTCCCCACCTCTCAGTCCCCCTGCCCTTGTTCTCTGTCCCGGGGCAGAAATCTGCATGGCAAGCAGAAGAATTTACAGTGGTTCCTAAAGGAGTGGCCCACATTGATGGCTCAGTTCCTGTCCTTGTTTTTGCCTGGTGGGAGCAGGGACCTCTTTCCAATGCAACTTATCTTCAGCCCTGATGAACGAGGGACTGGGGAGGCAGAGAGAAGAGAATGAGGGTCTCTGAGTAGTAGGACAATTAGGAAGCTTTTCCCTCTGTGATATTGGTGATTTTTTTAACAGGGTTGCTGCCACCCTTCTGCAAGTGAGGGAACGGTTCTGGTCCCTTGCCCCCGTGCACACCGACCGGCTGTGTCTAGACTGGCAAGTTTTTGGCTGTCTACACTGGCTGCTTGAATTTCTGCAAGAACACTGACTTCCTACTGTAAGAAATCAGTGCTTCTTGCGGAAATACTATGCTGCTCCCGTTCGGGCAAAAGTCCCTTTTGCGCAAAGCTTTTGCACAAAAGGGCCGGTGTAGACAGCTCAGATTTGTTTTGTGCAAAAAAGCCCCGATCACAAAAATGGTGATTGGGGCTTTTTTGCGCAAAAGCGCATCTAGATTGGCACGGACGCTTTTCCGCAAAAAGTGCTTTTGCGGAAAAGCATCTGTGCCAATCTAGACGCTCTTTTCCGCAAATGCTTTTAACGGAAAACTTTTCCATTAAAAGCATTTGCAGAAAATCATGCCAGTCTAGACGTAGCCACCATGTGGGGAGCCTGAGTTAGAGGCTGTTTCACAACAGAAAAGGCTGGAGGGAGCTATTGTTCCAGTGTCCTTACAAGTCCTGGGCGTAAGTCTTCTCCTCCCCTCCCCCAACCATGTGCACATGCTATCCACCAACTCATTTCACTTCCCTCCCCTTGTTCCTGACAGCTCCCTTGGAAGGACTATATCTCTGCACCTGACACTGCCAGCCCTCCGCACCCTTTTATGCATGTGGGAGACCCTGGGAATAGAGGACAGATAAGTGGGTCCTTTTAGGAATCCGCTCCAGCTTCTGGCGAGAGTAGGAGCCAGTGAGGCCCAGAGCTGAGCTCACTTGCTCTGTGCAGCACATACGAACCATTTCTCCCCCACAATCTCACTGCCTCTGTGGTATGGCCATGCCAGTTGGGTTTCCCTGCCCCAGCCCCACAGCGTTACTGCCTGTGTATAGTATATATATATATATTATATATAAATAAAAAGATGTATGATATAAAGCAATACATATATACGTATATATGACGACTAACAAATGGCCTGCTGCACACAGGATTCCTGAGTGTCTGTCTAATCCCGAGTGCCCCCCCCCCACCTACTATGTTTTTCCTAGACCAACTCCAATACGCCCTGCCATCTTGGCACCTGTGTTTACTACGTCCTGTATGTTTGTGGTTAACAAAGTGAAGATGGTAACTACTGGTGTCTCTTATCAATAAAGTTATGTTCAAAATAACAAACCCTAATGAGTTTTCTTCCCTTTCT